AAAAAAGAAGTCTCACTTGACTAGTATCATTACGTGAGAAATAGAATTAAAAAAAAAATTATTCGCTCACGTTTCCATGTTTGACATTTTTCTTGAAGTAAAAATGTCAGCAAATTGATTGAGACAGCTTCAAAAGAGTCAACACCTATAATGTCATCTAATATAATAATAAAAAAAGAGATAAAAATGAATTTATGATGTACAAGTTGCTTGTATATATATGTTACGTACTAGTAAAACTAATGAGCCAACAAAATTAATGTAATGATCTTAGGACCAAATATGTTAGACTATGTTTATAAATAATGTACTAAAATACTACTTGTTTGAAATAATTATTGATAAGGAGATGAATGATGTCCTCTTAGAAGGAGAAAACTCTGACGAAAAAACGTTGAAAATTCAAAATAGATGATAATATACTGCCCTTTCTATTTTAATTTAGACATAATATAATAGTTTGTTATTAATTAACTTGACATCAATGAACATTTATGACATTCAATTTTGAATGTGCACGAGTGAATTTTCAACAATATGCTTTACTTAAATTTCAGCTTATAGCTAAAAGCTGTGAAATCAACCTTATTACGTGTCACATTTTTGCAACACTGAATTTCTAGATTCAACATCAACTAAATTGAAAAAAAAGTCAAAGAAGAAGCTAATTCTAAGTTGATGCAAAAAGCTAAGGTTGTAGTTTTACATTTAGTTGTTTGTTGTAGTAACACATGTTAAATGTCAATGTCGAAGATAATTAATTTGACACAAAAATTACTATTATTGAAGAAAGTGTGCATACTACTCCCTCCGTCCACTATTGTTTGTCATGATTTCTATTTTTAGAGTCAAACTATAGGAACTTTGACTAACATTTTAAGATGTATTTTTTCATCATATTGATATGCAAAAAATTGCAATTTATAGTACTTTTCATATAGTTTTTAAATATCTAAATTTTTTGTTTAAAATATTGAATTAATGTAATCTAATTTAACTTTGAAAATCAGTCAAATTGACTTTCGAAAATCGCAACATGACAAATAAAAGTGGACAGAGGGAGTAACAAATGAAAACATAAAGGAAACGAATAAATTATATCTAAAGGAGCAGGTTGGTCGGGGCCCCTAAAAGACATTTTCTTATCGATTAATTCAATAATTAAATTGTTAAGAATGACTAATCAATTAATCGGTATTTCATTTTATTTAGCATATTTACAATTCGATAACCAATAGACTCAATCAACAATCACATTTAGCTATATTTAAATGAAAGTCTTCCTTTTATTACTTCCTATATTATTTTTTCATTGTTGTAGAAGGAACTGAAACAACCTTTACAACCTTTGGCGATAAGCCCTTACAGGCCCAATTCATGTCGTTCGGAAATTTGCATAAAGTATCACATTAACCAGAGTTCTCGTATTTGAGTTCTCACTATAAAAAAAAAAATCTTATTGGAAATGTTACCCCCGAATGGGCCCTATAGTGTGCAATTCGAATTTAATCAAGGTTCCAATACTAATTACTAAAATCACAACGTGCCCATCAAAACTTGTAAACAATTGCACACACAAATTCAATCACTTCGGCAAAATTTATTAACAATTGAACAGGATAATAAAATGAATATTGTACTAAAGTTATGACATATCGATCTAACTTGTGATCAATTGAACACAAACAAATTCTACTAATTTTGAAAGATTTATACATGCATAATTAAGTAAGATAGGAGTGATGAAAATTGTACCAAAGCTAATTAATGATGCATCTCTAACTAATAACTTGTAAACAATTGAAATTTGAACATACAAATTTTGTCAATCCAATAAAAAAAAAATTCTTTTTTTTAACCCTCATTAGGAGCTCCCACCCCTTTTTGCTCCCTTGGTGACTCGAACTGGCAACCTTCGGGTTGAAAGTGAGGGGTTCTTACCATCCAATAAGACTTGTGAATACTTTATCAAAATAAGTAAATAATTAAAGATCATAATAAAGATTTGGTGCAACCATCAAAATAGCCCTATTTCTACAAATATTATGCTTGGACTCGAAAATTCCTTAGAAAAAAAAAGGGATAAGAGTCTGAAAAATATCCAACTTTGGTCGGATTTACTGTTGCGATACTAAACTTTCATAAGGACCTATTACCTACCTAGACTATTTAATACCAGATTTTTTGCCCCCTGAACTATTTAATAGTGTATTTTAAATGTATATATGTGCCCACATGGACACATTACTATTTATAGTTTTACATTATTTTTTATGTTCACGTGGGAAAATATATATGTTTAAAATACGGTATTAAATAGTCTAGGAAGGTAATAGGTCCTCATGAAAGTTTAGTATCGCAACAACAAATTCGACCAAAATTGGGGTATTTTTCAAACCCTTATCCCGATAAAAAAATTTCGAGAAGTTAACTACTCATTCACTATTATTGTTTAGCAAGTCAAATAACTTTTGCTTAAACTGTACGTGGTTCTTACAAAATAGATTAAAAATATGTTTAATTATAAAATGTTGAAGGGAAAATGCATAAGTACCCCCAACCTATGCCCAAAATCCCCGAGACACACCTAACCTTTAATAAGGTCCTATTATCCCTCGAACTTATTTTATATACAATTTTCTACTCCTTTTCGGCCTACGTGGCACTATCCTTGAAAAAATTGTCAACACGCGCTGGGCCCACAAGATAGTGTCACGTAGGCCGAAATAGGGGTAGAAAATTATATATAAAATAAGTTCGGGGGTAATAAGACCTTAGTAAAGATTAGGTGTGTCTCTGAGATTTCGGGCATAGGTTGGGAGGTACTTATGCATTTTCCCAATGTTGAATTATATATAAGTGTAATTCTAAACATGCAAGGTTATTTCAAGATAATTAAAAATAAATATCTTAATGCTCACCCAACAGTCCCTTTAGGAGGGAAATAAGTAGATGTTTCTCCTATCCCAAAATAATTGTCCTATTTTACTTGGAGAGAATCAAGCTACTCCCTTCATTTAATTTTATTTGTCTTCTATATTTAAAATAAACATATTTCATTTTACTGGTTTATTTTAGTAAATTAAAAGACCCCTTTTCAGTTTCAAAACATAATTAATAAGGATACTTTAATAAAATACACTTTTAATTAAAACTTTTAAAGGAATATGGTAAATCAAGGATCAAGTAATATAAAACAGAAAGATTACAATATATGAATTTTAATGTGACTAACAACATGAGTTGGGTGTAGTCGTGGAACTGCTTCATTATTAAGATCTCGAGTTCGAGTTCTGAGTATGAATAAAATCATGTTGAACCGCCATCTCCGAAGGGTGCCTTCCGTGTCTGATATGAATTTAATCGGAGCTCCAATGCGGACCCTAGACACCAGCTAGCTCGAAACAAGAAAAAGAATTTTGATGTGAATTAGAGGTAGAAGCTTGATGTGATCCTGCATGTTCCTCTTTTTCGTTTTATATATGGCAAAGTTGCTTTCAGCGACAAAGACTTGTCAACTTGTTAGTCTCTTACCGGATCCATCGAACTTTAAAAAAATGCTCATCTAAGTCATTCGTTAAAAGTTTAGCTCATATATGTCATTTCCGTTTGAGAAAAAGCCCATCCATGCCATTATTTGTTAACAAAAAATAGTTCTAGTTTTGTAAAATTATTTTTTACACATGGTCAATTATGATTCGGCTGCGTCATTAATTAAATTATTTTTTCAAAGAAAAAAGGCTCAAATAGGCATTGAACTTTGAGAAAAGGTTCATCTATGTCATCCGTTAAAAGTTTTGACTCATCAATGTCATTTCAGTTAACAAATAATGACATGGATGAGCCTTTTCTCAAACGGAAATCACATAGATGAGTCAAACTTTTCACAGATGACATAAATAAGTCTTTTCTCAAAGTTCGATGGCATATTTAAGCCTTTTCCAGACATGTCAGTGCTAAAAAATCACAATTTCCCCACTGAATTTTCAGTTAAAAAATGTTCAGTGGCTATTTCCACAGATTATCGAAAGACTCTTGGTGTGTCCTACATGGTGTGGACATATAATAATGTAGGCTTAGGAAAAGGGACAAATTAAGACACAAAAAATTGACAACACCAGCATAAGTAACTCCATTCCACTGCCTCTTTTTGTTTTCTTTCAAAACTCCACACTGCATTGTTTCACTTTGGTAGCTAGTGTGTGGTATTGTCATAGTTGATTCCGTGAAGGGACAGTGAGAGTACTCTCTTTTATCTATGTTTGTCTAAGCAAACCAATGACATTGCTAATATACATACTCCAACTATATATACAATTAACTTTGTCTTCCCTAGTATCTGCACGTGAACTCTCAATAATTTTTCATGCATTTGTGGGTCCTAGATCCTTGTCAGCCGGGGCCGGAGTTACCATGTTAGATACAGATTTAGATGAACTCAGTAGCTTTTGCTTAGATCATATATTATGTTGGAAATTTATTGGATCATATCCATCCATAACTCATAAGAACTACTTTAATTAGTACATTAGTTCCTAAACCCTAGCTTATAATGTATAAATACACCATTATGCGTGTTGGAAGAACAATTTTTTTTACATTAGTATGATGGCTAGGGTTTACAATCTCCATCTATTGAGGATATCTAGGTTGTGGTTAAAGGGAGTTCATTCTCTTTTGTGAGGATTCTTGACAATCCGTGTGACACGAGTCGTAGTTGTTGCAGATCCGTTTTCGCTACGGAGAAACTAGATAAATATTTTACCAATTATTCGAGATACTACATATTTGTATTAGAAAATTCATTAAACATGCATCAATATTAAATTCCAATAGCACTAACGAAAATGAGTTATGGGTTTGTACGTAGCAAATTCAAAACTCATAAACTTTAAATTCTGACTCAGCGGGCTCTGCAATCGCCAGCCTCTATTTTTTTGTTCTCATGCTTAATTCCAACTCATAAGAATCTCATCCACACTCTAGACTCTCTCCCCTCCATTCTCTCTTCTCATTCTTCCCATCTTCTTTTATTTTCCCTTCATTCCTAAATACCTTCAAATTCCATCTTCAAAAGTTGTAAACTTTAATAAACAATGTCTCTTTGGCCATATTCAGTTTTTCTTCTTCTTTTCATTCTGCTCACTTCAAGTAATGCAAACAATGAACAAAGGCTTCACCTCAAAAGACTTCAAAGAACACATCAGAGCAATAGCCCAAGTTGTTATTCTCAAAAATCAAGTGAGTTTTTGCATAAACAAGATTGTAGAGCTAACTAGCTAGTCATTGATCATTAATTTATTATTAGAAGGCATTTAGTTTTTGTTTTGATATTATCAACACTTTTATGGGGATCTCCTAATAGTTTTGCTTCTTTTCATGCTTTTATATGCTATATATGTCACCTTTAATTTATTCTTCACTAGGCAAAAAGATAGTAGTGGAATACAAACTACTCCTTCCGTTCACTTTTACTTATCGATTATATTAAAAATATATTTCCACTTTTAGCGTATCAAGAGAAAAACATACATTTTTTTGTGTTTTATCATTAATATTAATTACTTATTCTCCAAATCATTTTCCAAGACCTAAATTTAAGCATCAATTAATATGTGCATTATGGTAAATCACTCATATTGATTATTGTTTCTTAAGGGGTGTTCAAAATCCAAACTGGAGAAGTAAAAGTGAACGGAGGGAGTATTTACAATGTTTTCTATGTGATTCTATTAACATGTCAATATGTGATGTTGCTATACAAGCCAATCTTTAGGTTCTTAGAACTCTGTACTACAGTAATAACTTTTTGTTGGTATAGCATAATTTTATAGTGTATGATCTTTTCCCTAACACATAAAATTCCCTATTTGAACTTTGGTGTTAATTAGAAACATTTTTTTCTTTCAGAAAGTGAAAATGGAGCAACAATATTGGAAATGCAGCACAAAGATTACTGCTCTGGATCAGTTACCAACATGAACAGAAATCACCAGAAACAACTGATAGTTGATGATGATATTCGAGTTCGGTCAATACAAGCCAGTATCAAGAACATCATTTCTGGAAAAATTGCAACTTTATCACAAACCAAAATTCCTATTTCTTCTGGTGTCAAACTGCATAGTCTAAACTACATTGTCACAGTAACGTTAGGTGGTCGAAACACGACAGTAATTGTGGACACAGGAAGTGATCTCACATGGGTTCAGTGTCAACCTTGTAGATTATGTTACAATCAACCAGAACCTCTGTTCAACCCCTCTGTTTCTCCTACTTATCACAAAGTTGTATGCAACTCGTCGGTTTGTCAAACTCTTCAGTCTGCAACCGGAAATTCAGGGCAATGTGGGAATGATTTACAAGATTGTAATTATGTTGTCAGCTATGGTGATGGATCCTACACTCGAGGCGAACTTGGTCAAGATCATTTGGTTCTTGGAAGCACTTCTGTTGAGAATTTCGTCTTTGGTTGTGGAAGGAACAACAAAGGTCTATTTGGTTTAGCATCAGGGCTTATGGGACTTGGAAGAAGTGATATTTCTTTGATATCTCAAACATTTGAGACTTTTGGTGGTGTTTTTTCCTATTGTTTACCTTCAGCTGAAGCCAAGTCCTCTGGCTCATTAGTACTAGGAGGTGACAGTAACACTTCAATTTTCAAGAACTCTACACCTATTTCTTACACTAGAATGTTAGCAAATCCACAGCTTGTTACCTTCTATTTTCTCAATCTAACCGGGGTTACTATCGGTGGGGTGGCTATTCAAGATTCAGGTTTTGGAAAAAGTGGGATGATCATTGATTCTGGTACAGTTATTACAAGGCTCCCACCAACAGTATACAAAGGTGTTAAAGAAGAGTTCTTGAAACAATTTTCAGGGTACCCTTTTAAACAAGGAGTTTCAATACTTGATACTTGTTTTGATCTTTCTGCATATGAAGAAGTGAACATTCCCACTGTTAAAATGCAGTTTGAGGGTGGTGGTGAGATGGAAGTTGATGTTACTGGGATTCTTTTTATTGTAAAAAGTGATGCATCACAAGTCTGTTTGGCTCTAGCAAGCCTCCAATATGATGATGAGATTGGAATTATTGGAAATTATCAGCAGAAGAATACTAGGGTTATATATGACATAAAACAATCACAAGTTGGATTTGCAAAAGAGACATGTAGTTTCTGAGTTTTCATCATGCAGATAAGATAAAGTTATCCCCTGATATTCATCCTCTCAAAAGGAAGTCAATAATGTGACTTTTTGGTAATGAAATTTTAAGAGTGATTATTTTTCTAATATAAACAGGTTTTAAAACGTTTCAATGGAACTATTTATTTTTATATTTTCCTAAAAGTAAAATTCTTACAAGTCATGATATGTTTTTACATTGTTGCCAAGACATCTTTATACTGTACAATACTAGTCCTACTGACAAAAAGATGATGAAATTCCTTGATGCTTAATCATCTCGTAAACTTCAAGAACATTGTGCAGATGAGGTTAAGTCACAAATTGGCATACTCTACAGTTTTACAAGAATATAAAAACATTCATTATGCCAACACTGGAATGTCTCGATAACCGAGCCAGTTGTCGTTTCCTTTTTTCTTTCTTCTGTTTTCTGAGTACATGGCTGATGGCCCTTTGGGTTATGGGAAGAGAATGATATCTGTCCCCTTTTAAAGTACAAAGAAATGGCTAATCTTAAGCCCACCAGCCACAAAAAGATTCTTTCTGCTCCTCTAGCTATAACAGTAAGACCAAAGCCAACTGTACTAGCAAAAAGATTCCAAGAAACTACAAAATACTGGTACATACAATTTCACAAGGTCAATTTTTCCTCAAGTATTGTGAAGGAATACAAGTATACAACAAATCTAAGCCTTACCGGATGAATAACTTGGCTCAGTCAACTCAACTTCTTTTTACCAGAAAGCTGGTACATCCATCTTGTATAGTTTCTGTCATGCTGCGCGCATAAAAATTCAGCAGCACATGTGCTGTTTCACACTGGTTTTGCGATTTGTGATCATGTATCCACTAAATGCTGATCGACACTGCTCACAAGAGGAGCCATTTCCATGCTCTGATTTTCCAACATATCATCCGCCTTTTTACTCTTCAACATCTCAGTTGGGAGAATAGAAGCATTTGGATCACTGCTGGGTATCAAAAACAGAATGAAAACTGGAAGTACTCTTAAAATGCTCCGGATTACTATCACTATCCAAAGGTTGTCAAATTGTGTTCTTGTAACATTGAAGGCATGAAGTAAGAGGCCTCCACCCCAGGATGCTGTGAGCATACCAATATGATCAATTGACATTAGCAAAGCAAAAAAAGTTCCTTCAATGCCTGAGGGGCAAAGCTTCGAACTGAGTACAAGGAGAGGCATCCATTTGAGACGCCCAATCATGTGAGAGAATGCTGCATCGCTTACAACAACAACATAATCAGGGATACCAAATTTTAAGTTTACACGTGAGACCAATATTAAATCTACCAGCCCCGAAGCACCATACAGTAACTGAGTCCAGAAAAGTACACCACGAAAAGGATGGTTTTTAAAGGCATTCTGGTAGAGGAGAACGCCAAGAAGAGAGCCCACCGCACCAACAGAAGATATGGACCCTACCATTTCCTGCACAAACATAACAATACAATTCACACTCATGTTAAGATGATTTTTTCCTACACGAAAAGAAGATAATGACCAATTTTCAAATAATGAGCTAGAAGTTAGGTCTTGAATCATTTTCAAAGTTGTCAACAATAGGTTGTAGAGATATAATACAAATACCTTTGAGAAAGATGGACCATCCTTGGCATCTGTATACCAGTAAAACATTCCCTCATGAATATGCAAACTCAATGCTAGAGAAATGTACATGTATATACATGGCCTCCAAACATTCTCGCATTTCAGTGCCATCCACATAGACTTGCCAGCATCCATGAACTTTTGACTTGCCTGCCTCAGAAACATAAATAGATGAGACAAATCAGGGGCAGATGTAGCCCTTTGGCTACGGGTTCATCTGAACTCATAAATGTCGATAAGGAGTATGAATATATATGTAATTCTACTAAAATATCAAGAAATATTAGATCAGAAACCATAATTTTAACAGTACCATGAGTACACTACTAAGAATCTTAAAAGTTGAATTCAATTAAATTTTAATCCTAGATCTGCCTCTGAGATAACTAAAAGAAGATGAAAGATTTCTAAGGTGAGCGAAGGCAACTTACACGCTTATATGCAACGTTGTGTACATGAGCTTCACGTGTCATCATTCCTACCAAAATGACCAGTCCAGCAGGGATGCTTAAAACTCCAAATACCCCCTGGCCAGAGTAACATTATTATCAGTAAACAGGGAAATATACCAGTGACAGTAAAACAGTGACTGGTATTTGAACAGTCAGCTAATCATGCAACACGATGGTTCAGTATGATCAAAAAGTAATCTAGAGTAGTTTAAGGTTCCGATATGAATCAGGAAGTAATAAAATTTATTGAGATAGCACTGCCCTAATTTAATGTAAGAGTCTCAGGCTTAACAAATGTTTTGATCAATTTCAAACCTCAACGAAAAGATGAAAGAATACTACATACAGAACAAAGAACTCAGTCAACAAACCTTGGATCCAATTAGATGTACCAAAACCCCACTGATTGCATACCCAATCAGTTGCCCCACTGACGAGCTCAGACCACACAAGCTTTGCATGTCACTAGCAAGAGAAGGATGGCTTATGCTGTTCTCCGTCACACAAGCATCAATAGTGACATCTGCTATTGCCACTCCCGCACTGCCAGCCATTAGGCACAACAAAGCAAATGCGAGGTGTAAGTTCTGGTTGATTGACAGACTAAGCATAGCGACAACGCCAATGAAACCTAAAGAACAAAGGGAGGTAGGTCATAAGAATGATTTTTTGTTTCCCATTTCAATTACACGGCATCTGGAAGTTGGAGATTATTGAATTCATAAGTGGTTAAACAAAGTACATCAAACTAAGACCAGCTGACAAAAACTAGAAAAAGCACCAAGGATATGTTCTCTTTTTGATTCCATGTATAAGACGAAAAAACGTAAACATGGTTCTTCGTCTTATCAATTTCATCCTTCACACTTGGCTTTACATAGGTTTTACAATAAAGTAACTAGACTAATGACTTGAATGGTTCTACTTCATGCTTTGGAGACTTCACATAATTAAGAGTTCCTCATTCTCCCAGCACAATTGACTGCTGCAAGGCTGTTTTGCTGGAAAGAGAGCATCCAACAAATGAAAATTTGAAAAATATAATTTACTACTCACCCACACATGATGTGACTGATTTTCTTTAACAGCAAATAGATAATTCAATGTTGACACCTTACTACCTATTTTTGTGATGGTCAAAGTCATTCAGCTGATTTTTCAGAAACTAAAAATTTGGAACTTTATCTCTCGTTTCTTCGGTAAACTAAACCAAGTGGAGAACTATCAAATATATTTCTTATAATGAATGGCCTCAGAAACTTTTGCATATCTTCGCTGTTCAAGGACTGTTTTGTGGAATGTAATCTAATGAAGTCTACTTATGTCTGACAAAGCATATAAACACCCCGACATGAACTTATATCACCCGCATTTTGTATTTGGGAGATACATTGATTTGTTAGTTGCAAATGTATTAGAAGCATTACCCTTATACAGAACCAAAAGCTTAGTTTAGATGTTGGCAAATTTGAACAGCTGAACCCCAATTTTCACAAGCCAATTAAGCAGAAAGTGGTATAAAGAAAGAGAGGAAATAACTCTTGACAAGAAGGAATTGAACTACTTTGAGCGATGAGCCAATGACTTCTCTCCCGCTTTCCGGTGTTAACGTTTTCTTCTTGTAACTATATTACTCTCCAAGCACCAAAAGTTTATCAAAGTTACCATGATGCACTAACGTCCCGGCCTTTGTGAATCAGGCTCATTGAGTCATTTCTATAGACAAACATTACAAGTGCAAGTTGGTATTGCTACATTTTTAGCAATCCAAGTTGTTATCCTTTTGGTTTAAAATGTAATAACAATTTATGATTCTAAAGAAAACTCAATAAGAAAAATGTGAACTCGATTTTCTTTCTTAATAATGTTCTCTACTAGCCTTTCAAACAGTCTATATCTTAAGATATATTAATGTATGATGTAAAGAAGCTATACCCATTGAATTGCATTTTAGGTCAGTTAGTGAATGTTGTTTTTCCGCCTTTCTCCTTCTAATTGCATACAAAGTCTTTGGATGTACTCTTCATTAAGAAGGAAGACCTTCAATTGTAATCTAAATTCTTCTTATCATCCCAAAGAGCATATGAATTGGACAAATATTCTTATTTTTTGATGTTCACAGCTTCCATGAGCAAGCTCCATAAAACTAGAGCCGGTCTGACCTCAATGAGAGCTCAAATTCTTTAGCATTCAATTTTTTTAAAGGCCTCCTTGATCTGGACAACAGAACACAGTTGCATCTCTCTCACGCTATTTTTCTTATTGGTGAGAGAAACACAATAAGAAGGTAATGAGAAGTGTCACTATCGGGAAAACACAAAAATATTCTTCCATCTCCCAGTGACATCATATTAATGATGTATTAAGCATCATCATTACCATGGATTCCAGAGAAGGACCAGCTTCTGAAAGCTATTGTTACTATTGTGCAGCTAGTATGAACAACTCATATCACCAAATTGAAGCTCCTTCACATATACAGGAAAGTTAACACACGAAGACAAAGGTCTAGTCAAGTCATATTTGTAATGCATATAATAGCATAATAAATCACTCACCAAATATAGCTTTACAGCCATAAGGAACCCCTAACACTCTAGGAATTTCAGCTGGTCATTGCAATTGCTCCTAAGTAGATAGTTTCACTACTGATCAATGGTGAAACATATTTCAGTGTTATTATACTACCATTACTTTACGAAGGATAAAATCATAAATGTTGAATACAGAAACAAGAAACAGATTGAACCAAAAAACAAATTAATCAAAATATGGTTACTTAATGATTGAAAAGTCTTGTCTAAGCAAACAAACACAAGTGCTCACAACTCAAATCTTGAAAGAGGAATCACAAAAAAAAAAAATGATTGAATAGTCAACGTGAAGATTAACATCAACTTCGAAACATATCACAAAATTGCATCTCTGCTAAATGGCATTGTCAGCTAGCATAATCCACTAGATAGACTATTGCAGAAGCATAAAGCACAAAATTGACTTATTTATGCTAAAAGTTAAAACAGATTTCATTTTCAAATCATGAACTTACCACCAAGAATGAAGTATGGCCGCCTCCTATATCCTAAAATAGGAAGAGTATCAGTTAAAAGCCCCCAAAGAGGCTTTACAACCCAAGGCAATTGAATTATTCCAAAATAAACTTGTGCTTCAGATGGCTGTAACTTCTGCTCATCTTTCATATAATACTGCGTACTAATTCTGCTCATCCCCAAACTCATACCCTGATTGATTCCATACAAAATAACCACAGACGAAACAAAGCTCCAGTGTAGCTCATCAATTAGCTTTCTTAACCAATAAAATTGCCGCGAAATCAGATCTAATATTCTATCTTTCGGCTTCTTGTCTCTGTGAAGTTGGCCTTCAAATGAAACTGCATCTTCTTGTCCCATTACTGAAGTGGTTCCGATGACAACTGACGAGATTCAGATCTGAAAATTTAGTCTCTACGCAGTACTGGAGGATTATAGAGCGATCAAAGGAGGATTCGGAATTCGAGAAAGATGATGAACTGAATTAGGGTGCATTGGGTATCGGAAACTGGTGAAGTCAACTTGACGGAATGTGAAACACGAAGACGAAGAAAAACGCAGGCCGAGCAACCGGGCAAATCGATGTGTTGACTTCAGTGCTAAGGTTTTTAGCTCGTCTGAATATAATAAAGGTTCAAAATGACATGCTTCAATTTCTCTCTTTGTTTCGTGCATTTTTCTCTCTCTACCTTCACTAACTTTTTTCTCCTTTGAATTGATGACTCCGAGGCTAGTAGCCTCCCTGCACCCATGCTATGTGACTACCACCGTTAAAATGGACTTAGCTCCGGTGGTAGAGTTGGAATAAAAAAAAAATTAAGGGAGATTTCGCATATAGCCACCCAAAAATAGTTTAGTTATGCTTTATAGTTATAGTTTGCTAATTACGATTCATAGTTACATGTTATAGGAAGGAGAGTGGCCATCGAGATTGAGAGAGGAAGGAGAGAGAGAGTGGAGAGAGGTGAATTGTATATGTATATCGGTTAAATAATTGTATATATGTATGTATATTTACCAATTATTGTATTTGTATATCTGCATACAATTTGAATTCGTATACAATTGAATTGAGTTAAAATATTTGTATTTGTATATCCAATCTCTCTCGCTTTATATAAACACAAATTATACATTATATTTGTATAATTCGTCTTTGTATAAAGAGCTAGAGAGAGAAAGGCAAAAGAGAACTAGACAAAGAAAGATTTGTATTTGTATAATTATAAGTGTATAGGACGGAGATATATGTATTTGTATATCTTGTCTCTCTCGATTTATATATACACAAATTATACATTTGTGTTTATATAAAGTGAGAGAGAGATTGACAGAAGTGAAGTGAAAGAGAGACTAGGCAGGGAGAGATGACTGAAAAGAGGAGAGTAGCGAGGGAGATTCCAGAGAGAGAGGAGAGAGAGGATGTAATTATAGCTAGAAGTAAGTTCCGAATTGTAATTAATGCTAACAATAGCTATGTTAGCTAATTAACTAGTATATGTTTGCTTAACCGCATAATATTCCCAAATTTCAAACCTATTAGAGTTTATAAGCCCAGCTCAAATAAGCTTTGGGCTCCGACTCCTAAGGCTTGATCGAGGTCGGGTTAAGATCAATTCATGGACCAAAAATATTAATTTAATTAAAATAAAACTAATAACTAAAGTTGTAAGGCGTAAATATTTTTGAATTTACAATTTTATTTTTAAAAAATTTTCTTTACTTATATATTTGTTTAAGAAAATATTATTATATTGTTTAATTGCTAGAATTCTTGAAACAACATCATTGTTTGTTATATTTGATTTGAAAATCTTTTTATTTTTTTTGATGTTATATATTTGGATTGTAATTAAAAGCACCAATAATCATATGTATAGTGTATGTTATGATTGTATTCAGTATGTACTTTCATATAATTTTGGTAAACATGTTATAAACTTAATAAATACCATGTAGGGTGTATAACTAATTCATGGATTAGTTATATATATGCCCAAATTTTTATCGAATATAGTATTAAATAATACTATACATAATGCATGGATTATTTTTCTTAAGACTCCCTACCAAACGATCTCTTACAAAATTTTAAGTTTGAAAAGAAATAAAGGGCTAGCCTACCCCAATCCACTCTTTTAGGATTGGGTTGGGTTAATCATTTTCAGGCCCTTTCAAATAAAGGATCGGTCAATCCTAATCCATCAAATTCATTGATCCTTGAGGCTTGAATTGGTGGAATCGAGCTGACCCATTTTGACAACTCTATTTATGACACACTCTGGGCTCAGTCCGGTATTGGTTGGAAACAAACTGGGAGGTCCATGAACAAAATAACTGGGTTGGGCCTAATCTAGCATTATGAAGTCCAGATCTTCCTAGACCAATAAATCAGGTCAAGAAAATAATACTTTTGAGGTTTTAGTATTAGCAATTGTTCAATATCTGTATATTAGGCGCGGCCCACCCTGTACCGTCCAGTCAACAGGGGCAATCGGCAAAGTTTAAACTGTTTTATATGATTAAAATTAATATTTGTTTTTGTATATATAATACTCTCTCTGAGTCTCTGTCTCAATTTATGTGATTTACTTTCCTTTTTAGTAAGTTAAAAAAAGAAGGGAAAAATGACAAATATACCCCTAAACTATCGTAAATGATATGCAGATACCCTCTGTCATACTTTTGGGACATTGGTGCCCCTGCCATAAAAAAATTAGAGCATATATGCCCTTCACTCTAACGGAAGACCAAATAGGGACACGTGGCACAATCTTATCCGTCAATCCTATATATAATAAATGTCGGATCTATGGATAAGATTATAACACGTGTATGTTCGTTAATATAAAGAATATATACGCTCTAGTTTTTAGACGGCAGGGACACCAATGTCCCTAAAATATGTGATTATCCAAGTCATCCTCGGAAAATTTGCTAGCCCAATTGGGTTTGTCCGATTGTCTATTTAACTGTAGTTGAGGAGCGCATGCTTAACTTTTAATGAGGAAAACGAAATATATATTTAACTTAACCACCCCTTCTTCTTTTTTCTTATATGTGGACTCATTCCCTTCCACGGTTCCACCTCACATCCATATCCTTACATAATATTTATCTAGATTATATATAAATATTTTTAAAAGCGAAAGACACGTTCATCCATACCGAACTCACCCTAGACGATGTACCTTGGCTTAGGGTAGGAGTAGGACCCAACCATAATATGAAATCATGTGCAAAGTAATTAGTAAAATATAAATAATTGAGGACAACGATGTGTCAATAAGGGCCAAGAGAGAAGTGGATCAACGACTAGTCACTCAAGTAGGTGCTCCTACTTTAATTTTACTTGCATCAACACACGCCACAATCCTTAACTCATTAGTGGATCCTTACTATTTAGCTCAAACATTTTAGTCCTTATCTCTTTTACCATCTCTTTCAACATATGATATTCTTAATTTTCCACCTTAAATCTTTTTTTGGAAGTAAGTGGCCGGTTTTCGAAAAAAAATGTCTGCAAAGAAAGTCGGAAACGTTCAAAATGTTTGAAAGTTGACATTTTACCCAAAATCTTTCAGTTTGTTACATAGTTAAATAGTTTTTATATCATCAGGTCGGTATTATTATAACAGGTAATATATTTTATTTTCAATACAAAGAAGAATGAGAGAGGCAAACACAAATAAACGTACTAATTTTGATCGAGCGCCGGCCATCCATACTTATATGTAATATACAAACATAAACCCCACTATATTTAGTCCACTTCCTATACTTCTTTTTGCCTATTTACTTCACTACTAAATTAGCAATCAAGATATATTCATATATGGCGAAAACCTCAAAACTGAGTAAACAAAACACTTGTTTAACCAACAGCAATACTGATAATGGCATTTCTAAAGGGAAGAGGAAGCGAAAAGCCAGAGATTCGCCGTCTCAACGACGTAGTTCAATCTACAGAGGTGTCACCAGGTATATATGTATCTTCATTTTCATTATATAGTTTGATTACTATTCATTTTATGAGATGATAAGTTTGCAGTATTTTTTTTTCCGTTACAATTATTAGGCACCGATGGACGGGTCGATATGAGGCTCATTTATGGGATAAAAATTGCTGGAACGAGTCGCAGACTAAAAAAGGAAGACAAGGTTCATTTTTTTTGTCCCTTTGATTTCCTAATGGGAGTTGTTATAATATCGAAAATAAGAAAGTTTACCTGCTATAATTGGTAAAAGGAAATTTCTTATATTGATAATTTGATATGATGTATTTAGTTTAAAGTTTAAACTATTTCTTAATTTGTAATTAGTTTCCTATTTAGTGATCATTATTTTGTTATGATATTGTTCAACACATCTGATTGGAGTTTTTTTTTTATTGCTCTTGCTTAAATGGTGGTTGTGATGACATCCAATTAAAATGCAGTATATTTGGGTAAGTTTTCTATCATTATCATTCAAATAAAATTTTATTTTGTATTTTGGCATTATTAAGAAATATTTCATTATGAAAAACCTTTGCATACGCAGTGTATATCGAATCAATACTGTGTATTACGATTTTAATTATTAAAAAGGGAATTAATCAAGTTCAAATTGTTTAAAAGAAATTAAGCATTTCTATACAATAAGGTGATTCAATGAAATCTTATCTTATTTTTTTGAAGGGGCCTACAATGAGGAAGAAGCAGCTGCACATGCATATGACTTGGCAGCATTAAAGTATTGGGGTCAAAACACAATTCTTAATTTCTCTGTAATTTAATCTTCCATCTTCTATTAACTCAATATATTAACTTTGTTAGTGCAAATTTATGTGCAATGATCACTAATCCCAATTCTTATTTGTATTTTCTTTGGTTATGGATAATAATTAATGTAGGTGTCTACGTATGAAAAAGAGATAAAGGAAATGGAAAGTCAATCAAGAGAAGAATATATTGGTTCTTTGAGAAGGTATATCGACCTAGCTCCATATATAGAAACAAATTAAAGCTAATTCCCTTTATATTTGTACTAATTTCAGTAAGTAATGAGAGTTTTATTTTGAAGGAAAAGTAGCGGATTTTCAAGAGGAGTCTCGAGATATAGAGGAGTAGCTAGGTATGCATTAATTAATTGACATCTTGAAAAAAAAATGAAGTAGGTTTTTTTTTTTACCTTCAGTATTGATTTGACACATTTCATAAAGAGCAATAAATAAAATAACAATTTTACTATATCACTTAATAAATATTATAAATTTAACATTTTAAGAAATGTATATTATAATTAATGCATTACCTTTTAATTTTTCAAACTTTACACAAAAGAATAAACATATAAAAAGTATATAGTGGACTTATAAAAAGTGAACGGAGAAGTAATACATATAAGGCTATAACTAGGCGTATATACATTTTCTTGGCTAGAGTTGACTGTGAGTGAATATTTCCATGTCATGTTTCCTGTATTAAATACTCCATTCATTTCATTTTTTTTTTTATTTTGATTAGTTTAATACAAAATTTAAACAAAAAAAATATAAAATATATACATACATCTTTTAATCTTATTATCATAAATATTTTACGTAAAAAGCGAAATAAACAAATAAATTAAAATTGAAGGAAGTTTCTATATTATGCAGCGTATCTAACCAAATATTCGGCACTTGAAACTTTGTCTCAAAAAGTCATGTTGCGGTGATCTAAATGTTCTGCACTTTTATTAAAGCCATAGACAGGCCCACCCTTTAAATTGAAAAGTGAAGGGAAGTTATTGCATGTTTTGGCCATCTTGGAGGGCCAACGACTGAGCTGGAAATTGTAACAAAAAATATTTATACTTGATACATCATAATAAATAAAATTATAATTTTATTATATCACTTTTAATTATAAATTATTTAAATATTTGAAAATCATGAATGGTGTTTAATAGTAAGTGAGTTTATCGGAAAGCCTATTTTGTCAAACTTGTAGCTAACATTTCCCATAATTCTTGCGCCATTTGATATGTCGTCCTGATCTTGACTTTGAACTTTTTTTTATATACTAATACTTTTCAAGCCTTCTTCTAAACATGTGCTCACAATTTCACCACGTAAACTGAAAAAGATTAACACAAAAAATTAAAATATATTTATTTTCTCTCTTTAATGTATTTTTATTTATGTTTTATTATTTCAATTCTTTGTGTAACCAAATTTTATATTACTCATGCATATATATTTGTAGACACCACCACAATGGACGATGGGAGGCTCGCATTGGCAGGGTGTTTGGAAATAAGTATCTCTACCTTGGAACATATGGTACTTAATTACGTTATCCGTGCAAAACATCTATTAATATGAATATTGTGATAAAATTATGTCAATTGTTTTTAAAAGACATGTAAAATCCAAAGTACTGGACAATTAAAAATTAATAGAGAGAGCTTATATATTATATAATATTACTATTATATATAGCTGTGTATATAATAGTGCCAAATGGTGTACGTTCAGTTACTATTTCAGGGGCTATATATTCAATGTTAACTATCCCAAAAGAATCAAAATATAGAAATAGATTACAAATTAAAGTAAAGTCAAATTAGAGAAGAACAGGTATGAAGTTAGATTAATTATATTAGTTGGTCGTTGGGTATATCAGATCACCAACTTTCAACTGCTAGATCTGCTATTTAATTAAGCTCTCTCTACTTTTTATGGAAACCTCACTAAATTAATAATCTCTTTAAAATTATATTCCTCCGATTTTGACTTGGGTCAATGAAAAAAATCACCAATTTCGATTAAATAATAAGATAATATATTTTCAAAAGATTCTATATAAATATATGTTTCCATTAATATTTCTTTAAAAGTACATTAGGAAGATTAAATAATATCTCTATAAAATAATAATATTTCATGATCCCACCTGTATTAATTTAATGAGGTTTTACTGCATTAAGAACATCCTGCTCCTATAAGAAATTGAGACCACTTGCTATGTCATGTGGTAGATCAAATGTGTATCTAAGTTTAATTAGTTAAGTAGAGGGGTGCTTTTAATGCTGCCAATAATTCGGGATGAAACTAATAATTTACGCCAAGCTAGTTCAAGGATGTTTTCAATACTTTTCTACGTAATTAATAATAAAGATGCATGCATGCAGCTAGTGAAGAGGAAGCAGCAATGGCATATGATATGGCAGCTATACAGTACCGTGGACCAAACGCTGTTACAAATTTTGACATCAGCCGTTACAGAAACTGTTCAGGTCCAAACCCTAATGACATGAATCCCATGCCTAGCACCAAAGAAGAAAAAACATCATCCGCCGTAGACTGCCCGGAGACACCACCGGAGGTGGAGAAATCTCAGAGGAGTACTACTTTCCCAGATGACATACAAACGTATTTTGACTGCCAAGATTCCAGTAGCTTTGTGGAGGATAGTCATATTATTTTTGGAGATTTAGAGTCATTTGTGATGCCTATGATGTTTGAATGTCATCAACTTGAGGAATTTTTATCTTTTTCTCCGTACTCAGAACTTGAACTCGAGACTTCTGATTAAAGTTGGAGCAATCTCACCATTGCACCACAATCTATATGTTGGTTACGTGAGGGGGTATATTAATTGTTTCTTAGTTTTGATATATTGAAGAATTAATTTTTTAGTACTTTATTACAAGAGAGGAGAGAAATTAAGGGTATGGAGTATTATTATTTATGTTTCTTAGTAATTTGGTTTTCTTTAGATCTGTATAAGGAGTAATTATTTTTGTCCATGCATGTTGGATGTGGTTGTTTAATTTTAATGTTTAGATGAACGAGGCTCATGTAGTCTCTAGAGTTTATGAGTTGACCAATTAGTATTCCATGTCCACTTTAATTTATTATGTTCGTGGTTTTCTAAAGTTCATTTCACTAATTTTCAAAGTTAAATTAGATTATATTATTTTAATATTATAAACAAAAATTTAGATATTCAAAAGTTATACGAGAAGTACTATAAATTGTAATTTTTTGCATATTAATATGATGAAATAGTACATGGCAAAATGATAGTTAAAATTTTTATCGTTTGACTCTAATAATGAAAACCATGACAATTAAAAGTAGATGGAGGGAGTACTATATTTTTGTCCTTAAATACTTCATACTTCTTCCATCCATTTTTAATTGTCATAGTTTTCTTTTTAGAGTCAAATTTTAAAAACTTTAACATTTTATGGTATATTTTTTTTATCATATTGATATGCAAAAAAAATTACAATTTATAATACTTTTCGTATAGTTTTTGAATATCTAAATTTTTTGATTTAAAATATTGAATTAATATAATCTAATTTAACATTGAAAATTAATCAAATTAACTTTCGAAAAACGCAACATGACAATTAAAAGTGGAGGGAGGTTATATTACGGGACACTTTTCATATTAATTTTAAATATTGAGTTAATCTAATAGAAGTTTAGGCGTTAATTTGGCCTTATTCCGACATTTATGTTCTTCAATATTAGATATGCACAAATAAATACTTAAACTTATATAAAGTTGAACAAATTGACATACACATCCAATAACTTGACGTCCTACTTGTCAATTACACCTATATGACATCATATATGGTGTCCTATGTGTATTATGATGACATATAGAACATTTGTATCTACTTGTTCAACTTTATACAAATCGAAGTATGTATTTATGCACACCCAAAATCAGAAGACATTAAAGGCCAAGTTAAAAAATATATTTCCATATTATGCCTAAATTTTAACTTCAAATTTCAGCTAAATTGAATTTTGGAAACAAAAAGTATCACATAAAATTAGAAGAAACAAAGTAATTTATTTTTCCTTGCTATATATATATATATATATATTTCACATTCTATTTCATTAAAAATAATATGTTAATTTAGGGGTGAGCATGATATGAGTATATACTGAATTATTATATATATCATACTAATTTTTTTTTATATCGTAATTTTGATATTATAGTATTTGGTATGATATATGGTATATATTTTAATTTTTTTAATATTTGATTTGATATTTAGGAATAACATACCGAAATATCAAATACTATATATACCGAAGTATATAGTTACATAAATAACACACACACACACTATATATATATATATATATATATAGTATAAACTAAATGTTTAGAAATTGAAATTTTAATAATCTATTTTGATTGAAATGTATCTTAAATGTAATTGATTAACAAAAGAAATTATTGGTATTTTCTTTTGCATCTATATATCTACATATGTAATGTGTTAGTATGATTTAATTGAGACTTTTTTTTTTTGAATTGTCCAAGTCATAAAACTCTATTATACGAGTATATATTAATCGAAGAAGTTGAACAAATTAATTATGATTACCAAATTATCATATTGCAAAATATCAAAACCAAACTTTAAAATACTGAATTAAATTAATATGATAATGATATAATAATTTTAAAATCTCAACCCCAAAATTACTGTACCGTATCCTATCATAAATTATTATAGTAGCTTAGTATAAATATTATATTAAGAGTGTTTAATATGGTCGGTCATATACATACTAGATATAGGACCCCGTGCCAGCACGGGGCCCAATATATATTATTTTTTTATTTTAATTTATGTCATATTATGAAATTTGAGAAGTTATTGAAATTTTTATATGATATTAAATATATTTTAAATTGTTAGCTATTGTGATTTATAGTACCTATTTTTTTTACACAATTTTAAAAATAATATTTTTTACTCTCTTTGTTTCGATTTATGTGGCACATGTAGGATTTCAAAATTAATCATTTTTTATATGTCTCTATAATATATCAAGTTGTTAATTATTGTATTTTATAGTACATTTTAAACTTAATTTTAAAATAATATATGTTATTTTCCTTGTCCCAATTTATGTGGCATTAATTGATAGATTTTTGGAGTCGAGCGATTTTTTTTGTTAATTATTGTAATTTATAGTTTCTTTTTCGTCAATTTCAAACAATATATGTTTATCATCTAATCCATTTTATGTGGTACCAATAGAATTTAGAGAGTCAATTAAACTTTTTATATAACTTTTAAATATTTAAGTTGTTAATTATTGTAATGTATAGTATTACTTATATTATTTTAAATATATTTAAATATTATATGTTACTCTTTTTATCCCAATTTATATGATATTGATAGAATTTAAAGTGTCAAATAATTGTTAATTATTGTAATATGTAGTACTTTTTATGTAGTTTTTACTATTTTTAAGTATACTAAATTGTTAATTATTTTAATATATAGTACTACTTTATTTTTATTTTTAAAATATGTAATCAACGAAAAATAGCGAGACATGATAATCAAAATAAAGAAATACACAATAGTATTGGTCAGTCGACATGATAAAGTTGGTGGGCCCCACTTAAATTAATTAAAGAGTACAACTTTTTGATGGATATAAGTGTCATTATGGAGATGTTGACTGGTTTTTATTGTCTAAAGAAGCAAAGGTACAATTATAAAGCACTGGCATATAAAAGTTTTAAGGAGCAAAAGCTAGTAAATACCAAAAATACCCTTGTCACTGAAATTAAAACAGAAATAAAAAATGATGTTGGCAAGGTTTGAACCCCAGACCTTGCACTTTAAATGTCAAGCCTAAAACAGTAAGACAAATAGTTGAATATCAAAATAAGCACACAGCTGAAGCAGACATGTTGACCCTCAGTTGTGTGCTTATTGACACGTATATATTAGTAGTAAAAGTAGTAGTAGATAGATGTTGTATTAATTATTTTTCTTAGAGTTCTCAATATGGGTCCACCCCGTCCGGGCTAACCCATACAACCTTTGAAATTTGACGTGTCAGGCCGGGTTAGCCCATTAAAAGTGTGGGCAAGAAAATGGTCGGCCCAATCCACACGTATGTGGGCTACAGGCTTGCCGGACCAGCCCTCTTTTCTTAAAAGTATATTTTTTTTATAATTTTTTAAATTAAATTATAATTTAAAAATATTGACAAGATAATATTACATAGTGTTAGTGTTACTACTTGTTAATCAAATCCACAAATAAAATTATCTTTATAATATTTATTAAGTTTGATTTCAAGTGAAAGCATAAATAGCTAAATAAAAATATTACTCTAATTGTTTTTCAATGATCATAATAAAACATAAAAACTATGACAATATTTCATAGGCTACGACCTATGTAGTGATTCCTAGAAATTTTCGGGAATTTTTATTTTATGTAGTACATATTTTATAAACATAATTTATATTTAAATTGTAATATTTCAAACTTTAAACAAATTTGAGTTTAGACTCTTGTTATTTTTAATACTCTATTTTATTTTTATTTTTTAATTAATTTTTATTTGGCCCACGGGCCGGTCCTATCCATATTTCTCAAGCCCCACAAATCGGCAGACTTATTCAGGTCGAGCTAAAAAAACCCTTTACTTAAATGGGATCCAAAAATCGTAACCTAACCCTATTAAATTACAGGTTAGGCCAGACCAACCCAACGGGCCTAGCCCATATTGACGGCTCTAATTTTTCTTAGGGCAAATTACAGAAATCACATACTTTTAAGGCAAAATTACAATCTATCCCTTAAAAGTTTATAATTATAGAAATACCTCAAACGGATACAATAATATAAGCGCTAATATGCACGAGATACATTAATCGTTAAGTAAGATACATTACATTTTATACATGATACACTAATCTGATGCGCGAGAAACACTAATATGATGCGCGAGATACATTAATCTGATGCGCGAGATACACTAATCTGATGCGCGAAAATGAGAAATTTTGGAGATTTGTAAAACTTATAGGGGATAATGGTGATAAGTAAATTAAAATGTCGGATTTCTGTAATTTTCGTTTTTCTTAACCCAAAAAACAACAATAATAAGAAAACTTATCCTGATTTCTGTGTATGCATTTACAAAAAATAAAAATAAAAAAAATCTTGTGTATGCACGCATTCTAACAAGTTTTGTCACTCGGCTCGCTAATTCACAGAGAACTTCCCTTTTTTGGTAATCACCCTTCTCGTCGCCGTAATTAATTTATCCTGACTTTTTTTTGAATAATTGAATTCATAGATTAATCGTTTTTTCGACAGTTTTCGCAAATTTTGATTATTCTTATTGATGAAGGGGAGAAAAAAGTGATCTTATGATTTCATTTTTGGAATTTAGGGTTCGAGTTTGCAATTTTATGCGATTAATTGAGTCGGAAAAAGCATAAAGTACTAAATAAATGATGTGGGCAGCTTCTTGCCGGTTGGTGGTGTCAGGGATAAGCCAGCGTTCAGCTAGGATTGCATACTGTGGACTTTTTGCTTTCTCACTCATTGTGTCTTGGATTCTTAGGGAGGTTGCTGCTTTTCTCATGGAGAAAATCCCAGGTAAATCTCGTTTGATTGCACTTGTTTATGGATTATTATTTTACTTGCTTTGTTGCTATCTCTGCCTATTTGGGTTTGCTTTTGTTAGATTTTCAGCTATGTTTGTTGGATTTTAGTGATGAAAAGGCTTGACATGTTTCGTTTGTGCTTGAGTTATGTTTCTATCTGTTTTCCCTTTCAGCCAAGTGAATGACTTTGAAATGTTATTGTAGTTACATTATTAGTACTTGATTAGATTTGGCTTATTAATTTACTTTTAATTCC